AAAATGGTTTGGGGGTGGTTAAAGAAAGCAAGACCCCCATTTTGCAAGTTTTTCTACTGCTCAGTGGTCCCAGTTGCTCCTTACAGAGCTCCTGACCCAGGGCCTCACCCAGCCATGGAATATCCCTGCCCTGGCTTCTCAGAAAGGGCCAAGAGGTCTTATTTGCAATTGCATGACCCACCTCCCACTCCTTACAGACAGGAGACTTAAGTGCTGAGCCCATTACCTTCTTTGACCAACAGACTACCTACTCATACCTGAAGCAGGAGTCCATACTTGACCACTTTGGTTTATTTGCACGCCTACTATTTGCTAAACACCAGGACCTATCCTGGATGCTGGAGGGTTAGCGGTGAGCAGGACCCTGAGAAAATTTTTATCTTCATTGGAGGGCAAACAAAAAGAAAAAGTGACAGCAGTGGTAAGTGCTGGAGGGGCTCTACCAGCAGAGTGGGGGAAGCAGTTGGAGGGGGGTGTGGGCAGGGGTGGGGTCTCTCGGAGGGGGCATCTGAGCGCCAAACTGAAAGGCAGGGCACAGTCCTCCATACCCCTCTCCTACACAAGTCCTCACCACTTTCTCACCTTGCGTCTTTTAACCACTGAGGCCAGTGAGGTTTATAAAGCTTTCAGATTCCCTGGTCCATGTAAGTCAAAAAATAATAGCAACTTATCACTTATCCCTTTCTAACTGCAATCATCCACAGATCCGCTGCCAAATAATATTGTTCACCCAGGGAATTATCTACCTGGCTCTTGCACCTCTGCTTAAAAACAAACAGAAAAAAAAAAGAAGAAAAACAAAATTCCTCTCAAAAGCTCTCCTATAGTCTCCCCGCACTGCTGTGCAAACAGCTAAAATCAAATGAAGATATAAATCGTTCTTGCAGGCCACTCTTCCTGTTCCTGCCCACGTCCTGGTCCCGCCCAGGCCCTTCCTACAGTTCTTGTTTGTGCTTTATCTAAGACTTAAAACCCTGGGCAGGGATCCTTTCTCAATGCTTAAGGCACAATACAATATTAAATACGGTGAGTCAATATCACAGTGCAGGATGCCCAAGTAACTCCCAGGAGAGGTCTAAGTGTCTCAATCAATACCACAAGCCCAAGACACAAATACCCTCCCTGTTCTCTCTTCCCTAACCCAAGAAAAGCAGCGCTGGAAAGAACCACTGCTTCCACAGGGGACCTTCTGTGGGCAATACAGCAGAAGAACGTGAAGCATCCGTAGACCTGCCATGGGTCAGGTCCAAGGCAAATACTCAGCCAAGTGGAAATTAAGGAAGCAGATCCTGGCTCAAGAGAAAGAATATTCTAGGAATTCAACCTGCTCAGGA